TTTTAAGAGGGCTCACTTACCCTATAGCCAAGTGCTGGTTAGGTTCCAGGACACCCAGCTACAACAGCTGTTCATGGAAGGCTTAAGAAAGATTGAGACAAACATGCAACACTTCAATCCCTGTGGACATAAAGACTGTCTTTCCTTCTCCAGAAACACTTTCTTGTTTCCTAACACAGCAGTGCCCAACCTTTGTGGCACCAGGGACCGGTTTCCTGGAAGACAGTTTTCCCACCAACTGGGGCTAAGGGAATGGTTTCGGGATGATTCAAGCACATTACATGCAAGCTTACCTCCTGCTGTGCGGCGTGTTTCCTGACAGGCCTGGACCAGTACAATCACATCCCAGAGGTTGGGGGGCCTCTACCCTAACAGACTTGAGGCTACTTCAAGAAATGTAGCTTTAGAAAACCCATTTCTGTGTAAGTTGGGTAGGTGCTGGGGAATTGACCTTCAGACCTGGAGTCAGATAAAGGAATTCTTTTCTGGGTCTGATTATTTATACCCTATTCACATGGATAAAACCAACCTTGCTGCTGGTGCTGCTTCTGTCGGGGGAAGCGGTTCCTCATAGAGAGGAGGGTGGCCTCTGTTTTTGCTTGAGTTGGAGTTTAATTCAGGGCTCTAGTACCGTCTGATGTGTCCATCCCTTGATCTGTTTTCCTCAGTAAGTGGTGCAGCTGTTACAAGAGAGATGTCAGTGATGCCAGGTCAGTTAAAGTAGTTGGCATTTGCTTTTCCTATAGATAAAAGTAGAATTTCTAGGCCCCAGAAGATAGTTAACGTTTTCTGTATTGCCAAACCCTACTTTTAGACTGGGATTGGAGACATTAGCCACCAGAGCCTGTTAAACCAAGTCTTGCAACTCCAGTGGCACCTGAAATATGGATGGGCCTTCTGTTTCAATTATACCTCCATCCCACTGTTAGGAAAAGCACTTCCTGCTTGGCCTGCTATAGGATGTCCTGGAAGAGCTGTTTTTGGAATATCTGCCAGACTTTTCTTTACAACTGGTGTTGCATTGCCTGTGCTTTGTGATCCACTGTTACACCAGTATTCCTGCATGTGGGGAATCTAGATGACAAAGTGGTTTTGAAAAGAATTGGCTTTCTCTCACTTTCTTAAAGTGATGGTAGATAATTTGGGGGGAAGGAAAAGAGAGCTTGTTCTCAAGCCACCTTTCTATACCAGTTAAACATCAACAACTCCAATCCACCATTCTCTGGATGAAAAGGAATTGGGTAGCATATTTCTTTCCAAAAGGCCCAGAACCTTGGTCAGTAAATAGAGGACCAGCAACAACTCTGTATTCTAAGCTGGCTAAGTGGTCTAAGGGCCGGGACGCTCACGTGGAAATCTGAAAGTGCCCATGTCTTTATTCCTCTCTCTACCAATAGCATAGGACCTATTTTATTTATCTGTAAAATAGGAACGTACTACAGCTCCTTGGCAAAGTAATAAATTCCCTTCTCCAACCATTTCAGGCAAGTTTGAAGGCTAGTACTTCCTTTATGAAATCCCATGTGAAAATGTGTGGAGCTTTGGTCTGGAAAGCAGTTAAATTTAGGGTAAGGGGGGAAACATTTAATAGGAAACAAATGCTGTTTGGGGGTTTTCTTTTCTCTTTATTATTTTTCCTGTACAGAGACCTTTAAGCATTGTATTGGTTTTAAATCTTAGGGGAATCTAAGCCTTTTATTGCTTTCCTTGGATTGTTCCAGATGAATGAATGCTATTGGGAAACATTGAGAGCAGCTTGTTTTAAGCTGCTTTACTTGCCACCTGTGGTGTGTGTGACCCTGTGACCCAGCCCCACAAAGTGGAGCCTGAGAGCCCTTTGCCACCCTGGCCCCCACTTGGTTGAGTGAATAGGTGCCATGGCTACTGCAATGGTTATGGCATTAGCTTGCCTGCTAAAGGGATGATTGGCTTAGAGGCTGGCAAGAAATGGTGGCATTTTGACATTTTAAACACTACTGCACTACTTTCCAGCTCTGTGCCCTTGATCAGGTTACTAAACCTTTCTGAGTTTGGAGATCATACTTGTCTCAGTGGATCTTGGTAAGAATTAAAGAGAACATGTTAAAGTGCTAGAGCAGCACCTGGCACATAGTTGATGCTCCATCAGTGTTGGCATGCCCATTCTCCAAATACACCTTCAGCTCTTTTGTTCCCTGATACTGCCAAGCAGCTCTCTAGCTGGTCTTTTGTGTCAGGGTGGGTGAGGAAAACAAAAGCCATTTCAGTGCTTTTTCAGTGAAAAAAATATGGAAACTCGAATTTTGTGTTCCCTGTGCTTGGCAGCTTTGACTTCTCACCTAAGCATGACCAAAGGGCTTTCTTTTTTTTTTTTTTCTTGGAATACTGGTTTTCAGCCTCCTGAGTCAAGGTGTATTTTGTGTCAATCTCTGGAACCTTAAATCTGGAAAGATTTAGGGAAGAACCTGAGGTCCTGTGAGGGGAAGGGACCCTATTCAAGGTCACTTGGTGAGCTGGTGCAGAGCCAAGAGCAGAACCCAAATCTCCTCTCTTGCTTCTACACGATCTGCATCCCACTGCAGTAGGAAGTAAGGCCTGTACATGGCCAGCTAACCACCTCCAGAGAGCCCAGCCTCTACTGGGACCTGGGAGGCTGTGACCAGATGGATAGCATGACCCAGACTGTTGTGTCCCCAGGCCTCAGAAGCTGTTTAAAAACTTGGTTTTGGAAGGGCTAATATTCCTGTGACTTAGGAGTCTGACACTCCTGGTAGTAGTCTGAGAAATACCTTCTTCCTTCCGTTATTAATTGAGCAAATACCGGCTTTCTACTAAAGGTTAGGCAATGTGCTGGGGGATGGCAGCAAACAGTCATATTGAAAAGGGATTCTAATCACTGGCAATTCTGCAACCAAGCACTTTTATTTCTTTTAAAGAAATGTGCCCTTTTTTTTAAAGGTTTTATTCATTTTTAGAGGGGAAAGGAGGGAGAGAAACATCAGCGTGTGGTTGCCTCTCATGCGCGCTGTCCCCTCGCCCCCCTGCTGGGGGATCTGGCCCGCAGCTCATACATGTGCCCTGGCTGGGAATTGAACCAATAACCCTTTGGTTCCCAGGTCAGCACTCAGTCCACTGAGCCATACCAGCCAGGGCAATTTTTTTTAAAGGTTTTATGTATTTATTTTTAGAGAGAGGGTAAGTAAGAGAGAAAGAGAGGGAGAGAAACATCAGTGTGTGAGAGAAACATAGATTGGTTGCCAACCATGGACCAGGCCCACAACCCAGGCATGTGCCCTGACTGGGTATCAAACAGGCAACCTTTCAAACCCACAACCTCAATGCACTGAGCCACACCAGCCAGGGCGAAATGTGTCATTTTTTTAAGGCAGTCAAATTTTTAATGCCCGCTAAGGGAAAAGGTCATCTCAGTCATCCTTGTGCCTCCTCCTCCCGAGTTTTGCCTGGATTCAGGATTCTTAATGTAGTTGTCAAATCAGGGAGGCCCCTCTCTGGTCATTTGGTTACAGCGGAGGTGCTTACTTCCTGTTCCCATTTGGTCCCTTTGGTCCAAGGGCCCTGCTGCTTCTACGCCAGTTTGGGGTGTGGGACCCCAGTGAGGTTGGTCACCAGTTACGTTTGCCCTCTTGGTCTTGGCATTGACCAAGTCTTTTTAGGGGGCACACTCCAGGAGGGGCGTGGGAGTGGAAGGAGGTACAGATCATCCTGCACCAAGTTCATGCAGCTGCTTTTGGTGTTGGCACATCCTAACCAAAGGGAAAAGTGGCCTTCTCCACCCAGCCAAGCAGCATAGAAAATGCCCCTTGAGAATTTGGAATAAACCTTACCATCATGTGACAAGGGAAGGGGCATTGCGGGGAGAACAAAGATCAGACTTGAGTTTGGACTTTGGCTCTCCCTTTTACTACCCATTTGACTTTGAACAGGTCTCTTAGTCTCTGCATCAAATGGGCATTTGTCACATGGGTGTACTAATACTCACCTGGCTGTCGAGATAAGAATTAAAGAAAATGTATGCAAAGCTCCTAGTACCAGGCCGCATACTTAGATGCCCAGTAAATAGTTATTTCTCTGATGCAGTGTTTTTGTTGTTGATACAAATGTCATTAGCCAGCAGTAACCTACATCATGGAAGTTAAGGTGCAGAAAGTGGATCTTTAGCTGAGAGATTGAGATGCTGTTAAGAAGAAAAGAAGGCTTTGAGACCCATGTAGAGGAAAGTTGGCACTAACTAACCTATAAGTTAGAAAATGAGTCTCTCCCTCAGCCCCCTGTCTTTGGATGGTGTGATTGAGAATACTTAGGAACTTGAAATGTGATATTAGGATTGGGAGTTTCATACTTTTTAGATTGTCTTAGCAGCAGTGGTGTTTTCCTCATTGTGTTTTGTTTGTTTGTTTGTTTGTTTTAAGGTTTATTTATTTTTAGACAGAAGGGAAGAGAGGGAGAGAAGCATCAGTGTGTGGTTGCCTCTCACGCACCCCGCCACCAGAGAGCTGGCCCACAACCTAAGCATGTGCCCTGACCAGGAATCAAACCAGCAACCCTTTGATTTGCAAGCTGGTGCTCAATCCACTGAGCCACACCAGCCAGGGCTAGTTTTATTTTTCTTTATGTTTTTTAATGATTTTATTTATTTATTTTTAGATGGGAAGCGGGGGAGGGAAACACTGATGTGTGAAAGAAACATCATTGCTGTCCCCTAACTGGGGGCCTGACCCCACAACCCAGGCATGTGCCCTGACCAGGAACCGAACAAGTAACCTTTCGGTTTGCAGGCCGGCACTCAGTTCATTGAGCCACACCAGCCAGGGCTGAAATGTGCTGATATTTGGCCTCCTGAGGTTTTGCACGGTAAGGACAACCCTCAAGCCTTGTCTGTGCCTTGGGGTTTCCTTATGGCTCACTGGGAACCATAGATTCTTTAAGTCGGCTTTGGTTGTCAAATTGTACCTGCTGTGTCTAACTTGTGTTATCACTAACTTGTGTTCACTCTCTTACAGGGGCTCCACGGGCCTTACCCCTTCGGCCAGTCTTAAACGGATGTCAGCAAGAAGAAAAATAAACAAAAGACAGAAGGTTTGACTTTGGTGGCGGGCGGGCAAGGGGTTCCTCTGGATTGCAGACCACATCGCACAGACCTCTGGCTCTGATCGTCCATCCTGGAAGAAGAGGAAGAAGCAAACAGACTAGTTTTGAGTAAACTCAGTGTGCATGTGTGAATGCTGAATCGCTGGAATGGTGTTGAGGCTACCAAGAAGAAATCCATGCAGCCACCTTGGGTTTTGTTTATTAGGCGTCAGTCTAACAAGTCATTAGGCCACTCGGGAAGGGGAAAAAAGCCATCTTTTTGAACAAAAATTATTTTGCCTACAGACAGGTTGTAGTTTTGAGCACATGTTAGTTTTTCCCTTCTTTCTACACTTTTATTTTTTTAGATAAGGGATAACATACTCTGTAGAATAGCCGCTTGCTCTAGACACGGTTCAGGTACAGAGCTGGTGTGGTGTGTTTGGGGCTCCGTGGGCAGTGCTGCAGGAGGGCATCTGCAGTGCCACGTGATCCAGAGTCTGATGGCATCAGCCAGTGAGCTATTGCCCTTTTCCTCTTCTCTTTCATCTTCTGTTGATTTACACCTTTGACATTTGTATTTGTCAACCATGTGGCTTATTACCATCAGAACCTCTCTGAAGACCAAACTTCCCTGTATGGCCAGCAGAGGAAGCCTTGAGGACGGGTCTCAGATGATGTGGGAGTTTCTTACGCTGAGAGGTGGCCTCCTGCACACACTTGTAACAGTTCAGATTGCTTTTCTCCTATGTTCTCTTGGCAGAAATGCCATCATGCTTACTGCATTTTGGATTCCTCATCCACAGTGGCTCCCCGTTCACTCTGGAAACAGTGCCTCTGTGCTGCATATATGTGTGCCACATGCACACTCATGGATGTTGGTGCAACTCACCAGCAAGTGTAAAGTAAAGGTTCCATGCTCCTCTGTTGTCACACAGCTCCCTTCCCTGTGTTTCTTCTCAGTTGTCTTTTGTGGTGTTTTCATAGCCTGTTAGTGGAGGCTGAGCTGTTAAGGTATGAAAATACAGCCACAAATAGGGAACTTGCCATTGGGAAGGTCAGTTACTGACTCTGTGATATTGGAGACCACACTTGGATGGAAATGAGAGGACCCTTGTCCTGAGCAGGATGCCTGGTTACTGGGACATGGTGGGCACAGGCAACCCAGCCAGAGCAGAGTCTGATTGGCTGGCTGCTCACTGGGCAGGTGGCCACACTGGCATCCTGTGGATTCCGAGCAGGTTGAGATGCGGGTGTCTCCATGGGAAGCTTGAACCAGGCTAGAACAGCTGTCTGCCAAAGATACAAGAATATGCAAAGTCCCTCTTCTCTTCTCACTCCCCCCTTCCTTCCCTAAAGTGTTGGTTCGAAAGCCGGGGATACGGATGTAGGATCTAGGGCGCAGTTGCCTGCCTGTTACCACACCCCAACCCACCCTGGGGGTGTGAGTCAAGGAGGGAGACCAGGTGATGAGTGGCTGCTAGGGGTCATATAGCCTGGGTGTGGGTGAGGGTCTGCCTGCCTGTCTGTCTCTGTTTGGGTGTGTGAGTTCAAAAAATGTGTGTTGTTTGTTCCTCCTCATCCTCTTCTGAGACTGTTTTATAAAAGCTTGATTGTGGGAGATAAGCTTGTATGAAATTAACCCTTTTGCCTTTCCACCTCCCCAAAAATAAAAGGGGGGATACGTTTTGGTCCACTGGAGAAGCCCTGGGGGAGAGGGGAGCCAGCCTGCTGAGCAGGGCAGTGCAGCTAGGTCTGGGACTGGACCAGGGCTCACACAAGAACACCCATTTTTTATGCACATGAAGGGAGCCCCATTTGTGAGCAGAGGGGTGTCCCTGTCAGGTGCCCAAGCCAGGGGCTCACGATAGCTTTTTGGCTGAGGGCCCTACTAGGCCCAGACTGCTGCTACTGTTGGTGCCAACCTTCTGGGACACCACCACCATGGAGCCCACCCATGCCCAGCATTTTCCTCGTTTGATAGCCCTCAAAGCGGCATGTCTCCAGCTACCCCTGGCAGGATCATGGGGGACTTCCACACCCTGGTTTTCTGGCTTCCTCGCCTGTCCCATGCAAGGTGCCTCTTCACCATTTCCTGGGAGGGGCTGCCTGCCATTGTTTAGCAGAAGCACCCTGCTTCTCTTGCTTCTAGGCACCCTGACCTGGCAAGGCAACTGTCCCAAGCACACTGGCTTCCCTCCCAAGAACAAACTTTCTGTATACATCCTTGCAGAGAGCCAGAGCAAGTGCAAGTCATGGAGTAGGGACAAGGAGTCCATGATCCCCCTGGACCAGGGGTTAGCGGTACCATTCATTCCGCTTCCTCTCACTGATGTGAGTGCTGAGCAATGCCTAGAGCCCCTCCTCCCCTGCTAGTGGGGTGGAACAGGCTATCCTTTCAGCCCCAGTAGCCTCTGCTCTTCATCAAAAAGCAGCTGTCTGTCGTCAGGACCACTAGTGTCAGACGCATGAGGTGAGGCAGGTGCCACCCTGAGGGGCCCGGCTTGGGAAGAGCCTGTCTGTGTGCATGGAGTGAGGTGTGTTTGGATGTGTGTGCACACGTGCATGCCTTTTTTTTTCCCCCCCTTCTTGTCATGGGGACAGTTGAATTCAGGGCATTTTCCTGCAAGAAACAGATTTCTCTCCCTCTGTAAGGACTGGCTATAACCTGAAACTCATCTAAGGCACTTCCAACCTAGAAAAAACCTAAACAAGACAGCTGGTATGGCCTAAGGATGGCCACGGCGGGGAATGGGCATGAGAATAAACAGCTCCCCAAATTCAACCTGAGCCCCCGCAGCAGAGGATGGTGGTGTTGCCAGGGCTCAGAAAAGCATGCGATCCCCCACCCTGCCTTGCCTTTCCTTTGTGTCCTTGGGTGAGTGCTGGAGCAGCAGTGGCTGCTCTCTACCCGACAGGGGTGTGTAGTAAGCAAGCTGGGTGGGTGTTTGTGGTGGGGCCTCATGGTGCCTGGGAAGAGATGAAGATGAGGAGGTTTTTCCTTACTGTAAAAATGAATATTTGTATGATTAAATTAACACACACCAAAAACAACTTTCATATGTGTGAGTTTTATTGTGCCCTAAAGCCCCTTGTACCTGCTTAGCCCTAGCCCCATGGTGGCTCTGCAAGGTACACGTTTTGGTTTCTGTGTTTCTCCTCCTTTTTGCGAGTGGGAAAACGGAGACCCTGAAGTTCATTATATGTTTGAGAAATCAGTCCTGGGGTTATAATTAGATCTGCTGCCCTTCCTGCTTCCTAGGCCTCCAGGGTCCCATGTATCTGATGAGTATTCCTCTATCCCAGCTTCACTGTGGATCAGGCACATAGAACAGGGAGAGTGCAGAGCATGAGGGACATTTTTCCAGCATCCTAAAGGGAGTACATCTTATGTGTTTTCCATGGTGGTGCTCCAGGCTCTCCTGGTACATGATGGATTAGGAAAGTTTTTGCAGACTGATCTGGGATCCTGAGAGTCAGGTAGGGACCACATTCAAGGCAATTAGCAAACAAACATGGAAACTACTCTGCGTACTTAATGTGAGACCAGCCTATGACCTTGGCCAAGAGATGAAGAGGTAGATTACACAGTTGTCAGCATGAAAAACTTAATTGGCAAATGTGATGGCAAATGGTGGGTTCACTGGATCCATTCCTTCCTGACTGCAGCACTCTCAAGGACCCAGAATTCAAGATTTTGCTCAGTTACATCACCCCTCTGCATTGACAAAAAAATGGAGATCAGAGGGGAGGAGGGAGTTGCTTGGGTCTTACAGGCTTGGACCCATGCCCTCGGCCCCCACGTGCTGGCATTATTTTCACTGAAATTGCAGACCCCCGAATTGGGTGTTCACCTTGGCTGGCAAAGCTGTGTTGTGTTCTGAATGTTGGTGGAACTGGATGTGAGTGGTGTCTCTAGGGGGTGGGAGTCAAAGGTAGGAGATTCCCTGTAGGCAGCTCAGGGAATTGGCCAGGGAAAAGGACCTGTGGTCAGAGATTACATGAGGAAAATGGAGGCACCACAGAAAAACTGGCCCCTGTCCCAAGGGCCTGAATTCTCTCCTGTTTCTCTGCATAGCTTGATACGCAGTCCATGGTGAGGCAGCTGGAAGACTGGCTGGGGACCCTGGGTGAGTGCCCTAGTCCCTGCTCCTAGTACTATGTCAGTGCACCCACATCCTGCTTCCTTCCAGGTGACCACAACTGTTTGTTCTCTGCAGGAAAGGGGTCCCCACCCTGTCTCCTTGGTCTTCTGGCAACTCAGACCCACTTCAAGGCCTTCCCCAGCACCCCTGCTGCTGGACAGTTATTTGCTTGGCAGAATGTTTGTCTTCTGGGCTGTAACCTGTCAAGAAGTCACCAGGCCCTGGGAGAAGGGAGTAGGTTTGATGGTAGCTCCTGGCCTAAGCCATTCCCACGGGGGCTAGGTGACGTGGGGGGGGCTCTCAGCTGAGTTTTCACCTGAGGGGTAAGGTGGGGGGAGGCAGTGGCAGTGGTCCCAGCCCAGCCCTCGGGGCAAAGCAAACAGGTCTTCTCAAGCCACCTCCCTGCCCCAGCTCAGGTTGTACCTGGGTGCCTCCCACCCTGTTCTCGAGAAGGCCCCTCCCTCAATTGCATGCTGTGACCCGGTCACTTTCCCAGACATGACACCACCCGGTGTCCAGCTCTGTATGGCAGCCAAGAGAATAGGCACTAAGGGCATTCGTAGCAGCCCTTTATTTCAAAATGGGAGTGAAACGGAGCAAGCGAACTGCTCTGAGACTGGAAGAATGAGTTTGGTTGTCAGGGTCCAGAGAACAGATTCTGACAGACCAGCATGACAGTGGGTTTCAGGCGACTATAAAATGGAGATGTGCTGGTTTAGAAACCGTGAGATTTCTTTTTCTTAAAAAGAGATTTTTTTTATTTGTAGAAGGGAAGAGAGGGTGAGAAACCTCAATGTGAGCGAAATACCAGTTGGCTGCCCCAACCAGGGACTGAACGCGCAACCCAGGCATCTGTCCTAAAAGGACTCGAACTAGTGACCTTTCCTTTTGTAGGGCAACACTCAACCAACTGAGCCACACTAGGCAGGGTCTTAATATCATTTTTAGCTCTTAGTTCTGAGTCACTGTGATCTAAGGAAGTGCTTCACAAACTTGGACGTCATCAGCCATTACATGGAATTTGAAGTCTCAGGACTAGGTGACATCATCAAAGGAGTGTCTTTGAGTTTGGCCTCCCCTGTCACATGTTCCCTTAAAGCCTGCTCGTTGCCCCAGCTTCCAGAAGACCCCTCCTCAGACTCAGAGCCCTGATGACTTCAGTTGACCTCTTTCGTCCTGTCTGTAGACCCTTGTATCCCGGCTTTCTCCCTGATGTTCATTTCTGTAGATGGGTATGAAGAGAACAGGGCCTAGGTGCTGTCCAGGCCAGTAGTGGCCCCCACTCAGGAGCCAGGTGCAAGGGCATGGAGCAGTAAAGCCAGGGCCCCAGCACAGTGTTGCTTAGTGCCTGTGGTCCTGCCCTTGGGGCCCTGGAGCCAAGCTCGAGAAATTCCTCCTACTGGGCCTTGGGGAAAAAAAAAGGCCGAGAGAAGAGGGGCGGTGTGTATGAGCAGGGCTTTGTTTGCCTGCACCAAGCTCCTAGCCCTGGTCAGCAACCAAGACACCCAAGATCCCTGTAAGGCTGGGCTGCCACTGCTCCAAGCCTCTCAGAAGCTCCCCCTCCCCACCCAACACACACACACCCACCCCCCCCGCCCCCCCACCCCCCCCCCACCGCGGCTCCCCCGCCCCCCTCCCCCCCCCCCCTCAGTGAGACAGCAAGAGCCGGAAGGATTGCTGCTGAGCTGTGAGGAATGCTTCAGGAGGGTATGGTTGCCCCTGAGGCATTCCAGGTAGGAGGGGGAATGTGGACAGCCTGGTGCTGGGAGTGTGGCCCCCTCAGAGCTGGTGCAGCCTGGGCCCTAGGCCAGCAGAGGGCACCACATGGCAAGACCTCTGGGAGGAGGGACACTGGGCTGGCCAGCCTCCCCGTGTAGGTATGCTTCCCAAACCCCGCTGCAGTCCGTGTTGCTTCTCTCCACTCCACAGAGGCAAGTGCAGGTTTGAATGTAGGCTCTGCTGCATGTATATTTAAACACTAAGCACCTCAATGCCCTAATCTGTAAATGAGGACATTTTTTTTCCTCCAGAGGTATCATGAGAAGTAAAACCATGAAAGTTAAGTGTTGTATATCTGACACCTGGTAAGTGTCCAATACGTGGTGACCATTTTTACACTTTTGTGACCTGCTAGATGTGGGAGGTCTGGACTCTGCCGGAAAGGGGACTGGGACATTGGGCATTTGGGAGGCAGAGTCCAAAAAACTCATAGGCTGCCCAGGAATTTCTCCCTGGCCCACAACCCTTATTTTCCAGCAAATTCTTGCCTTGTGTATTTCTTGGTGTGGGCTGGGAACTGAGGTAACGGGAAAGGACTATGCTGGAAGAGAATCTAGGAAATCCTAATTTCCTCTAAGAAGAGGCTCTGTTGGGTAGAGGCTGCACTTAGCATCGGCATCCTGGAAGTTCTCAATGCATGTTCATTGGATGAAGAGAGAACAAAAGTGTCAGAGAGACTGCCTGTTCTGGGCTAGCCTGATTTCTGGAGGACACTGCCCAGCCAGGTGAGACCCCAGACAGTGGCAAGGCTCCTGAGAGGCATGGGAGGGGGGGCTAGGGGTGTCACAGGTGTGCCGAGGTTGAGAATGACAGCCCAGAAACCTGCGCCTGCGAACTGGTTTGGCCACTATGGTTTACCGCTTCCGAGGGCGGAGCACTGGGGCTGACACGTTTGCTTCCGCAAGGGCCCAAAGCAGTACCAGAGCCAGGAGTGAAAGCCAGGCCACAGGTAGGGACCATCCTCATGGCTTTTGTTGGTGTGAGACAGCACCCAGACCCTCTTAGCATCTTCAGCTCTTGCTTTCATGCTGTTTCCTTCTCTTTCCTCTCCCACACACCCTGACTCCCTGAGCACATTTTAACTATGAGCCATGGAGTGAAGGCTTGGGGTTTGGGGTGCCCACAGACAGCTGGTAGTTTCGGGGCAGTTGCTACCAAGATGGGTCAGGAGGGCGTTTTATGCATGTCTTGAGCCCCTGCAAATGTGTGCCATCCAGGGCTAATGAAGACACATGTCTCTGTTGGGAAGATGGAGCCTCAGAGATGAAAAGTGAGCACCGGCAGGGAATTGGTTTAGGCCTAGGATCCTGTGAGTGGTACCCACAGAAAACATGCCCTGCAGGAGGGTCTGGGAGAACCAGGGCTCTCTCCAGGGTTAGGGACGGTAACCAAGGTGACCCCAAACATGGGACCAGGGAAGGCATGCCTTCCACAAAGTCCCACAGCCAGTGTGGGCCCCTCCCAACCCAGGCTGTCTCCAGGACCGGTGAGCCAGCTGGGAGAGCCAAGACTCCCCAGGGAAGAGAAGGAATCAGTCGTTGGGAAACAGGGACAGACTCCCAAAGGGCTCTGATCCCCAAGCCAGGCAGCCAGGTTGTGGGGTCCAGGGGAGTCCAATCATAGTGGTGGTAGCAGGGCCTGAGGGGAGGCAGCCTTGGCTCTTGGGTCTCATTTGCATGGAGCAAAGAGGAATTTGCATCTTTGAGAAGTTACAGCTGTGAGAAGGGTTAGGGCACTGGTAGTGATTAGCCAGGTCTTCAACCTCCTACCTCAGCCTGGGTGGTGTGGGTGTAAGGGGAGCAGGCCCTATGCCCACCTGCCCCCACCTTACCTGGTGCCAGGAGCACAGCAGAGTCCCAGTGCCATTTGTTCAGAGTTCAGGCTCTGCTGTGTAGAGCACGCAGAGGAGCCAAGTGCTCTACACCCCTGCACATGCACGTGCACATTCACACACACGTACTCAAAATACATGTGCAGTTCCACACACCACACACAGAATCATGTTCACACAACACGTGCATCCATGTACTGACACAGGTGTCCACTCATCACATGAGTTTATCTGAATACGCCATCACACCTGAGGGTTCTTTCATCTCAGCATGTTCCCGCACATGCACATGTTCATAC